GTGCCTCAGTGTTCCAGGTACCCTTGGAGGGGCTGAGATCCTGGGGATTCCTGGAGCCTGGCTGCATGGCCTGGCCACCCTGATGCCCTTGTGTTCTCCATGACCGGACAGCAAGGCTGACGAGAATGGTTCTCACAGCTTCATGAACTCCATGGACTTGCTGGAGCAGCAAATGGAAACCACCCAGAACCTGGAGGACTCATACATGGCCATTGTCCACAAGACCATGTGGGACCTCATGGTTGGTGTCATGGCCAAGACCATCATGCATGTCATGATCAACAACGTGCATGCACCGCCTCATGGGGGCAGGGGGCTCCTGTGGCACTGGGGATGCAGGTGGCCATGTTGGTCTGAGGGAGATGCAGACCAATCCTATGGGACCAGGTCCAAGGAGGGAGGCATGGTCTAAACCAGAGCTGTCTCATAGAAATATAATGTGGTACTGAGGACAGTGGCCCATGCCTGTAATCCCAGCACTTTGGGAGGCCAAGCTGGGAGGATAGCTTGAGCCCAGGAGTTCAAGACCAGCCTGGGCAACATAGTGAGACTGGTCTCTACACAAAAATTTTTTAAAAAGCTGGGCTTGGTGGTGGCACGTGCCTATAGTCCTAGCTACTCGACAGGCTGACATTGGAGGATCACTTTGAGCCCAAGAGGCTGAGGCTGCGGTGAGCGGTGATCTCGCCCACTGTACTCCAGCCTAGCGACAGAGCGAGATCCTATCTCCAAAAAAAATTTTTTTTAAAACTAAGTAGATGGGCATCCTGGTGGCATGATAGGTCCTGGATCCCCTCCCAGACCTGTGACCTTGGGTGGGTGACTTTTCCTCTGGACCTCAGTGTCCCTATCTGAGTGAGGAAAGGGCGGTGGGGAGGCAGATCTTTGAGTCTAAGCGGTGTAGAAGCCGCGTCTGAAAAGCCATACTCAGGGCTCCAAGTCCAGCACACAGTCCCAGCAGGGCCCGGCAGGAGGCCAGGGCAGCGCAGGCATCAGGTCCCAACCTCCTTCCCTCTTTGCCCACTCTCAGACCAAGGAGTTCATCTTCTCGGAGCTGCTGTCCACCCTGGCGTCCTGAAATTGAACCTGCAGGACAACCAGGAGTCCTGTCCCTGTACTCGTGTGGGGACCAGAACACGCTGATGGAGGAGTCAGCAGATCAGATACAGCGGCGCGACAAGATGCTGCGTATGCAACATGTACTGAAGGAGGCACTTAGCATCATTAGTGACATGAACACGACCACTGTCAGCATACACACACACAGGGGCCCGTGGACAACTCCTGGCTGCAGGTGCAGAGCGTCCTTGCCAGACGCAGGTACCAGGGCTGGCACCAATGGCCCCAAAGCCCCCCATCCCCAATGGCTGAGCCTGGGGGCTCTTGGAACAGGCTCCAGACCCAAGCTGGCAGACGTGGGTGCTCTCTGGAACTGTCAGAGAGCTCGTGGTTTATGGTGTCAGGGCTGAGAGCTGGGAGGGGGTTGTGTGTGGGGCTGTACTCTGAGGCCACCAGAGGCCTAGAAATGTCATTCTGGGCACGCTGTACCTGTTGTGCAGTCTGAGTCATGCTGCCAGGGCAGAGTATCCGCCTCCCAGCCTGGGAGTGCTGAGAGCCAAATCCACTGCAGAGCAGGGGTGAGAGTCAGGGTCCCACCTCCTCTATCTGTCGGCAATCCAGTGGTGATCTAGGATAAAACTTCGAGAGTCCCAACCCACAACACACCTCACAGGCCAGGCGGTGACACACAGCCCCTTCCCTCCCTCCCAGGTCCCATCATAGCTGCCAGCCTGTGACGGAAGGCAGGGTCCCTGGCCCCCGCTGAAGCACTATCGCTGGCCAGCAGGCTCACGCACCTTGGCCTGTTGCTCCAAGAGGTTGCCTCTGCTATTCAGCCAAGGGGACCACAGTGCCTGGTGTGCCGGCTGAGCTCTGCCCAGCAAGCCCACCCACCTCCCCTGCCATGGACTCTCCCAGCAGGAAGGGCCCAGCCTCACCTATGTGACCTGCAACCCCCAACAAGCTGAGGCTCCGCTATTAGACTTACAATTCTACAGCCAGTGGCATCCAGCTGCCTGCCCTCTCTGCCTCTCACAGGGTCCCTTCAGAGGGTGCTGGGCTTTCTGACTGCCCAGAGGGGGCTCCAGCGATCACTCCAGCCATCCATCACTTTTAGCTTCATCATCCTGGTTCAAGCAGTGTTCCTTCTCTGTCAGACCTGGTGGCTGTTGCGTTGGGCTCCCCAAGGTGAGAGGTGGCCCCGGACCAGGGGTTGGAAGACAGGGTGACCAGAGAAGAGGGAAGCCCGAGGGGGCTGAGCACTGGTCTGACCGGTGGGTGCACTGCCTGGGTGCCGTGGACGAGGCCAGCGTGTGTGGGGTAGGGAGGGCCGCCGCAGCCCCCAGGCACCACCTGTGAAGCTCCAGGTCCTCCCTTGATCATCCTCCCCTTTACCTTCCAGCCCCTCTTTTCCAGGAAGCTTGCCACACCCACACCTGCGCCCTCCCCTCCCGGGCCTTCTCACAGCTGCTGTGGCACACCTGTGCTCTGCACTTGCCTCACCAGCTCTCTGCTCACTTTTCTCTCTCCTGTTTTCTCTCTGCTTTCTCTCCAACTGCCAGCCGATCGGGTCCGGCAAGTCCATCCGGTCCTGAGAGCCCCGGGCTCCCCTTTGACCTCTAAACAGATCCGTCCTCTTCTCAGAGACCTCCCTTTCCAGGCCTGCCTGGGCGGCTGTTCTGTGATTTGACAGTGGCTCCCCCAGCCCCAAAGCCAGCCCCCTTCATCTGTGACTTGGTCTGCTGTAGTGGTGAGCTGACACCTCCAGGTGTGACTGTGGCTGAAAACGTGTGCCCCCCTCTGTGGTATGCCCCTGCCCTGTTCTATAAATATCTATAAATACATGTATGTACATATATACACATACATATATACACATACATATACACACATACATATATACACATACATATATACACACACATATATACACACATATATACACACACATACACATACGTATACACATACATATATACACATACATATATACACATACATATACACATACATATACACACATACATATATACACATACATATATACACATACATATACACACATACATATATACACATATATACATACACAAACACACACACACACACCCCAACACGTGGCCAACCGACTCACCTCTAGCACTGGGAATCAGTCACCGTGCTGTCCGTCTGGAGTCTTGCGGCCCAACAAGAGAAAGCTGTCCCCTGACATTGCCCCTCCAAAGTGCAGCACCTCCAGTGAGCCTCCCTGTCCTGCTCGGCCTACGGACAGCCCCTGCCATCCCTCCCGCCCCCACCAAGCATAGGAGTGCTGTGCAGGCAGCGGTGTGGCCTGACAGTCTCTACCAGTCCTGCTGTCCCTTGGCTGAGAATCAAACCCATTTCTGGGAAATGTGTCCTCTGCTGGCTGTGTTCTCTGTGGAGCTCAGGGGAGGGGAAAGGCCAAGCCATTTCTAGGGTGCTGTCAGGAGCGGTGAAAAGGCCATACCCTTTCCAAGGTTCACTTTTCCTGGAAAGTCCCTGGAGCTTCCCTGGCTCTTATCCTGTGAAGCCGGCTCTGGCCACCAGGGGGCAGGGCCATGAACGCAGCCTGGAGGGAGCCTGCGGGGCAGCCGGCGCTCTGGAGGGACAGACAGAAGAGGCCACCAGGTGCAGACAGGAGAGGGAGGCACGGGGACGGAATGGAAGACGCCTGGGCTGGGTGGAAGTCAGTGCCCTTAGGTGCTGACACCTGTCTTCCTGGCCACCTCTAAATCAGGCTTCTGAGCCTGTTGGCTGTCAGGGCCGGACTGCGCCCCGCAGGCGCCATGGCAGTCCCTGTGGAATCCCCCAGGCGCCACCAGGCAGCATACAGGTAACAGGCCTGGAAGGTCCCCAACAGCCTAGCTGGACATGCTCAAGACACTCAGGGGCTCCTCGTTTGGTGGCACAAACTCCAGGACCCAGTGAGGGAAATGGGAGCACACCAGGCCGAGGAGTATGGCTAAATTGGTTTATTCCAAAATAAAAAGCAAAATAAACAGGAGTCGCATCACCAGGGAGCCACGACCCCATCCCCGCCTCCTTCCTCTGTCCTATGCTAGCAATAAATAAGTTTCCCAGCCACAAATAATTATTAGAACCTCCTCCCCATGTGTCAGTTCCAACCTCCACTAGGTCCGATACAGGGGCGGCCCTACCCGCTGGGATATACAAAAGGTTACACAGACAGAATAAGTACACCAGGGAACGGGGGGCACCCCAGCAGCCCGTGCCCTTGCCTGGTCCACAGTTAGCCCCACTGTCCTGCCTCAGCTACCTCTCTGAATAAGAAGCTGGGAGCCTCCCTGAGGGAAAAGTTGCTATGGTGAGAGAAAGGAGGCCATCAGGCCTTCTCCAAACAAACCAACTCCACCAGCCTCTGGCTCTTAAATAACAATCATCATCATCCAGAAATTTAAGGACTCAGCCCTGGTCAAGGTGGCAAAGGGTCTGTTTGTCTTTCCGCATTAGACAGAGGTCTTGTCTTGCTACCCTAATTGTAAAGGGGTGACTGGGAAGGGGTGGCAGGGACATGGTGGCGGTGGAGACTCCAGCCCAGCTTCTCCAGGGCTTGCTGTCAGGGGCCTGCTTTTAATTTTCATTTTTGTCCCATGACTTTAAAATCCCATAACTTCTTTTTCGTAAGTTTTTTTTAGTAACTTCCCATAAAACTTTTTTCTCCTTTTTTGCCACAACTTTTTTACTTTTTTATCCCATAACTTTTTCACCCCATAACTTTAATCCCATAACATTTTATTTTGTGTTCTTTTAATAAACACCTGCATAGTTATATTACAATTTTATAAAAATGAAACAGATTATCTCATGCCAAGCATGCCTAGCATTTGCACAGTATCAATACCTTTAATATTATAGTTTTCAAGACACGCAAAATAAAATTTTAAGGAAAAAAACAGCACTTTGCAACAATTAAATCATTTATTACATTACAGTAGCATCACACCAGCAGTCAATAATGCCACTTTAGGCAAAGGTCTTTCAGTATTTCTATTATACATTCTGTTTACAAGAATTCATAAATTGGTAAAATTCATTCTAAGAAAACTTGACAAATAAAGCTTTGGGCTGGAATTGGCATTTCTTTCTTTGCTTTTTCTTCCCACCATTTGTTTCTTTTAAACTACAGTGTTCATATTTTAAAATGTTTTAACTTATTTCAGAACATTAAGATAGCAGTTACATTTTTTAATAGTTATATTGTTTTAAAAATGACTCTTTAAGATAAGATTTTAGACTAACTATATTATGGATAGGGCTGATTTACATTTTCAAATTCCTAAAAGTCAGCTTTGGTTTTAGAGCTCATTTTGTTTTTTTTCATTTCTGGAAAACCTATCAGGTTTAATCAAATACTTTTAAAATGATTATTATATATTGTAATCTTTAAATAGGTGTTTTGATTCTTCCTACAGAAATTCAAATTTATTCAGTTGAACTCACATTTTAAAATTCTATGTTTCTGATGAACTCTAACCTTCCAATGTTGCCTTCTAAGCAAATCGAAAGCTGCCTTACACTGAATGAGGAAGAGCACAAATACTTGGCTGAATGAGGTATCGCAAAAGACTGCGTGCACTTTGAAGAAAGACTTAAGTTATTGTCATATCATTTCCATTCTTTTTAGCTTTTTCTTAAATATATGACAAATACCTACACAAAGAGTGGAATTTCAGTTAATACAGTAAATTTATTTTCCAGATGGACATTCAACTGGAACATGCCGGTGTGTGATTTAACCCATCGGCACCTGATGAACACAGTATGGTCAGATTGGTCACAGATGCTAAACACTATCTGAAGGTCATGCCCAGTCACTCATGTTTATCAGGGTAAAAGTGAAGTTATTTCAACGATAAAAGTACCTTTGAAATAATTTATCCATGTATTAGATAAACCCAGTTTCAGAATGATAAAGAAAAAACATTAGACCAAATAATATGGCTAATTAACAGTGGTCCGATTTCTAGCCCGAGGTTTTACAATGGACTTAAAGTAACTGTCTTTAAACTGAACTCAAAGAATGCAAAAGTGGCAAGTTCAGAAAATAAAAGGCAAGAACAGGACTTACCCACGGGCTAGAAATCGGACCACTGCTAATTAGCCACATTATTTGGTCTAACATTTTTTACTTTATCATTCTGAAACTGGGCTTATCTAATACATTGATACATTCATACAATTTGGAAGACTCCCATTGAAGTCACAACGACCCAATATTTGTGCTCTTTCAGTGAATGCAGGCAAATCTGTTATTCCATCGGTAAAATCGTATTTTGCTCTCCTGTTAGAATATCATATTTATAAAAGTGTCATAAGGATGCCAGATGCTAAAAATGGAGATGGTCTGGTAACTAGAAATCCCCACCCCAGGGAGCACACGTACGTATCTCCCTACATCCTAATACTGTGATGTGTTTTGGACACAGACATTAGAACCTCATGAGGTTTTAACTGTTGATTCTTTCCCAAGCACCATCAAGTTATGATTTAGGCAATGTGTGACTGAAATTCATTCATTCATCATGCATAGGCACGATCACATAAATACTGCACAAAATATGTCCCTAACTGAAACTGAGAGGTACAAAAACATATTTCACTCTTCGTAAAGAAATTTGCGAAGAAATATACCTATGATTGTATAGACACGTTACCTCGTAATACACTGACATTCACAAACAGTAGATTGCACTGCAGTTTGTAAACATCTTAAGTTGCATAAAGTTCTCCTTGATTTTCAAAGACAGTATAATACTGTCTACTAAAACTCCTTGTTTCAATTAAGTACTCTCACATATATTAATTTATAATAATGTTTGTTATTATTTTTTAAAGTGTTTTCCATTCAAGGAAAACAAGTAAATTCCTATGTCAGAGTAACTAAGGTGGTTGAAGAATAGGTATTAGCCAGAGAGGTCTAGATGGTAAAATCAATCTTCAAGCCTCAAAGAAGCTCCATGAACAGAGGAATGCCAGGTGTCACACAGCTTTCCTTCACTCTAATTCATTCTTGACTAGAGCCTGTATGCCTGTTCCAGGGACATTTAAACTCTTAAAGGATTTCTTATGATCTTTACTAAATACATTAAGAAGAATGCCAGCCAGCGCCCTTTTGTGTACTGGGACATGTAGTCATGTGATTAAAACAGGTAACATGAACTCTGATTTTCAAATGTATTACAGATACAAATGCTCTAAGCTAGGAAAGGTTTTCCACATCCACAGTCAATCATGGGAGCCTTTCATTCCTCAGAAATAATCCCTTTTTAGGTGACAGATAAAGAGTACAACTGCTGCAGCTCCTGATGCAATATCTTCATGAGCCCAGAGCACACACGAATCCTAAGGGAACTGCCATAGTACAGCGCTCGTTCTTGGCACCGGAACAAACGAAACACACTGTATCCCGCACATTCCTGCCGGAGCAGGCCACTGTCCTCTTCTGTGAGATTTAAAAAGCTTCCCCAAAACGTTATTACTCCCATCACCAGTACACAGAAAATGGGGGAAAGGCTGTTTCCAGTTCTCAGACTTTAAACAACTCTAATGTCAGTACTCACGCTGGCATATATTACAAAGTAATCAACAGTGCACACTTGAGGGCAAACCGCATATTCAGCTAATGAAGGGCTCACTGTGATTAAGATTAAATCAAACATAATAGCAGAACATAAGCAAATTTTATCTGAATTCTGATGCTGCAATAACATTAAAAAAGCATGGCAGCCTGTTCCAAACAGCGAGAATAGTTTTGTGCAAACAGTGGGTCTTTGTGTGTTTGAACTCCCACCACGTAACGGCAAACTCGATATACATGCTAATGACCTACAATTATGAAATTAAAACAGAAAAATGCTAAAGGATGCCAGAGTGAACCTCAGTGAAGGCCACAGAGACCCACTCTCCTTTAACTTTTTACAAATAAACTTAAACTATAAATTGGAAACAAAAATAATCAAGAGTGGCTCTAACATTCAAATGAAGTAAATGGATTGTGTAGGAGATTCACCCCATAGCTTTGTTTCTTTTTAAAAAATGTCTTGACCAGCTCTTTGATGATGGTGATGTTTATCTCCTTCTTCTTGGCAGCCAAGCCCAGCAAAAGAACGGCACGCAGCGGTTGCTGCCCAAGCCTGGGTGCTCCTGGTGCTCCTGGTGCTCCTGCGCGATGGGCTGTGCAGTAGGGTTGTCGTGGGGAGACCCCTCCCTGGCTTCTCCTTGCCCAGTCTCGGCGCTGTCGCTGAGGCTCAGCTCACAAAGATCTTTGGAGAGAGGGAGGCGGGGATCTGAGCACAGTGCAAACCCCCTGCTCCTGCCTGCCCGCCCCGCCTGAGGGCTCTACTCACCACCATGCTGGTTGGCAGCCCTAAGCTCCTGGGGGGCTGGGGCTCCTGGACGGGGCTCATGACCAGGGTTCTGGGAAGAGGTCAGGAGTTTGCTGTGCTCGTTGTTGTGGTCCACACAAGCCATAATAGCATCTCCTGCAGCTCCACCTGGAGGGAGGGGTGCTCAGCTGTCACGCTGCTGCCGGCGCCCACCCTCACGCCCACCCCCACCCCTGCAGAGATGTTGCACACCCTACCTTCATCTCCTCCCTGTGCTGGACCAGCCTGATGATGTCCTCCTCCCATTGCTGCATCCTCGGCACTGCCCCCTGCCTCTGTTAGAAGCTGATGAACATTCCTGCGGCAGGACAGGGCTCAGACGCTGGGGCCCCTCCGAAGGCCCTGCAGCTCCCCCTGCCCTGCCCTGGCCTCCCACTCACTGATGGCATCTCTCTCCCCAGTATTCGATGAATGGAAGTTCGGGTTTCTCCACCAGCTCACTCAGGTCCGCCATCTCCTCCCGGTGGTCCATAAAGCCGCTCTGGAGCCAAAATAATGGGGTCACATCTCGGCAGCGACCTGCCCTCAGGTGGCATTTTCAAGTAAGTCATGGAGAAGCTGGAGGTGAGTCCTGGCATGGGCCAGCTTCTCCACGACTTCCTGCAGGGCCCGGTGGGTCTCCCCACTCACAGACTCGCCCCCAGTCCCTGGGGCTGGGACCGCTGCCTCTGGCTCCTTCTGGGCCGAGGCCACCAGGTAAGCCAGGTGCTGGCAGCACACCCTCTGCTCTGTCACCCGCTCTCGTAACCGTGCCTGCTCCTCCTTGGCACTGGCTCCAGCGGATTTGAAACATGCCACCTGAGGGCAAGACGTGAGCATTCTTGTAGGGACATACACAGAAGAAACAGGGCAGAGGGGTGGAGCGCAGCCCCTTCCCTTGGGGCCTCAGTTCGTCACAGGTGAAATGGTGTCTGACCACTGGCTCCCGGAAGGGATGAGGGTCCAGAGAAATCAGAAGGCAGGGAAAGTAAGAGCATAAAGGGGTCTTGCAGGGACCACAGAGGAAGGTGGTAAAATGGGTGCGGGGGGAGTCAGGCTCACCATGGCCTCCCAGCTCTCCTGGTCCTCTGGGACGCTCGGCATGGGCTGAGGTCCCTCCTCCTCCTCACTGTCCAGATGTCCTCCTCCATCTCCTGTGGGGAGTGGCCAGAGGGCTCCTCAGACAACCCAACAATGGAGGTACTGTGGGCCCACCTCTGCCTCCACCCTCACTGGGTAACCCTGAGCCAGCCCCTCCCCAGACAGGAATGAGCTGCTGTTCTTTATTTTTTCTTTTAAGAACCAAGATCTTGCTACACCGCCCAGGCACAGTCCCACTACCGGTCGGTTTGGGAGTTCTGACCTGCTCCGTTTCTGACCTGGGCCAGTTCAGCCATCCTTAGGCAACTTGGTGGCCCCCTGCTCCCAGGAGGTCACCATATTGGTGTCGAACTTAGTGCAGGCACCCGGTCAGCATAATGACCAGCTGTTCTAAAGGTCTCTTCCAACTCCTCAATCCTGTGCTGCTAACAGTCCCCCCTTCCTCCTGGGGCTCTGTCCCTCTTCCTCTGAGTGGTCTCCGGTACCTTCCCCAGGGAGAGCCGTGAGGTTCAACGGGGCATTCAGCTGCTGGCTCTGCTGGCTGGAAGCTTCCAGGCACTCCTAAGGGGCCAGGAAAGAGTGAGAAGGCATGGAGTTTGCCAGGTCGTCCCCCTCATAGCCCCATCCTCAGCAGCTCCCTCCCCTGGGTCTCCTGCAACTTTTGGCGGGGCATCTCGGCCACCGCTTTGCCCCAAGCTTCCTGCTGCTGCAGCTGGTTCATTAGCTGGGTCTGCTGCAGTAACTGCCTGTGCAGCGCCTCCTTCTCAGAGGTCAGCTGCTGATAGGCGGCCACCTGCTGCTGATAGGTGGCCACAGACTGCCGCAGGTGACCCAGGTAATGGTCTGGCTGCTGCTGCAGACTCTGAGCCTCTTGGCTCTTCAGCTCCACCTGCAAGAAGACCGTGGGTGTGAGGGCACGTGGCGGCTGGCTTCCAGATTCTGGGCCCATTAATAGGGTCTCCAGGGCACTGTGGGGCTCTGTCACCTGCCCAGGACCCTCACCCCTTACTCCAGGCCTAAGTGACTGCCTCCCTTTCCTAGAACCCCATGCCTCCTTTCCCAGGCTCAAATCTCATACCCTCTTCTCACCATTTAAACTGTAGGCCACAGACTGGTGGAAAAGCAGTGGGAGCCAGCCGCCATCTGCTAAGTGTGCTACAGGCCTAGTGCTTTCCGTGTATTATCTCATTTAATCCACAGCACCTCTGTAAGGAAAATGCTAACTTTCTTTTAAAGTTAAAGAAACAGAAACTTAGAGATGCAAAGTACTTGAATGGTGACCAGTGGAACCAAGGCTGGAATCCAGTTGTAACATAAGGAGCCTTTTTGTTTTGTTTTGAGACAGAGTGTCACTCTGTGGCCTAGGCTAGAGTGCAGTGGTGCAATCTCAGCTCACTGCAACCTCCACCACCTGGGCTCAAGAGATTCTCATGCCTCAGCCTCCTGAGTAGGTGGGATTACAGGCATGCACCACCATGCCCGTTTTGTTTGTTTGTTTGTTTTTGTAATTTTAGTAGAGATGTTACCATGTTGGCCAGGCTGATCTCAAACTCCCGACCTCAAGTGATTCTCCTGCCTCAGCCTCCCAAAGTGCTGAGATTATAGGCGTGAGCCACCGTGCCTGGCATAAGGAGCCTCTTATACCACTGTCTCTTCACCTATGACTGGGGGCTCTATGCCTCTAGCTGGGATGACGATTTCCAGACCTGGGAGGAGCCCAGGGCTACCCACCTCTAAAAGTCAGAAGGCAGGAAGGAAGAAATAGTCACAAGACTGCCCTGGAGGATGCTGGGGTAACCTGCCCCCAGGCTGCAGCTGCCTCGGCCTGGCACACCCCTCCCCAGAGGCTGGTGCCCGCCTCCCAGCCCTTCTTGGATGGGGCAGAGGTTACCGTCTCCTTCACCTCGTCCAGCTTCTCCTGTAGCTCCTCCACTTGCTGCTCCAACTGCAGTGCGCTCTTGTTCTCATTGTTCTGGACAGAGAGAGGGAATCAGCAGCCACCCACTGCAGCTGGAGACCCCAGAACTCGGTGTCTGCCTCCCATGGCATCGGGAAGGGTGGAGGCAGGTTAGAAAAATCATCCCCTCTCTCCCACAGCCACCAGAGCAGGGCTCTGGCTCACAGGTGCCTTTAGAAGTAACATTTCACGTGAGGGCTACACTGCCCCATTTTACAGGTGGGGAAACAAAGGCCTGGAGGGCTAGGGAGGAGGGCAGGCTCCGCAGGTGGGGCAACGCACCAGCTCCTCGACACCGCTCTGTGGCTCGGCCCAGCCTGCTGAATCTCTCTCCTGCTCCCGAACCTCCTCCTCCCGAAGCCTCTCCTTTTGTGGCTGGTTCAGGAGACTTACGTGTTGATGGTTTTCCACGTGGGCCTGGAGCTCTGCTGACACCCTCTCTAGTTCCTTCCTCAGGTGCTGCAGCTCCTCCTCAGCGGGCACTGCTGGGGGCTCCGGGGGCTGGGGTTTAGCTGAGAAAGGAAGCAGACAATAAGGGCCTCTGGATTCTCAAAAACAAAAACAAAAAAAACCAAACAACAACAACAAAAAAAACCCTCCTCTTGGTGCACAGCTCCTCTCAGGCTCCCCAAACTTGGCCTCACTGCTAATGATTCCTCGCACCCGGATGGCAGCCAATCTTCCAAACCACTTCCAGATGGAGAGCACTGTGGGTGGCTGACAACGGGCCCCCTTTGCTGATGGGGACACTCAGGCTCATGGAGATGACAAGATTTGCTGTCTCCCGGCACAGACCTCTTTCCCTCTGCCTCAAAGCCCTTCCATCCACCCACCTCCCTGGGGCATTCTAAGCCCCTCCACAGCCTCTGATGCCAGGCCTGCTCCCAGGTCACACCAGCCCCATCTTACCCATCTGGTTTTTGAGTTTGGACAAGCTCCTCTCCAGCTCCTCCACCCGACGTATGTCATCCTTCTTCTCCTTCTTCAAGGTGCAAACCTGCCCAAAGCACAGGGGGAAAGGGCCCTGGAGAGAGGGGCTGGTGGCTGCCATCTCCCTCTCTGCCCCACCTCCACAAAGCCCAGACCCATGACCACATCTGGCTGTATATTCCCATGTTACAGATGCCCAGAAAGATCCAGTGACCTATCTAAGATGGGGGTGCTGAACGGTCAGACCTCACCTCCTGTGACATTTTCCTCATCCTCTGCTGCCACTGGGCCCTCTCTCCTTTTAGATGTTGAGCATATTCATCTCTCTCTAGATGGGCTTGTTTAAGTGAATCCTTCATCTGCAAGAATGGGCACAGAAGTTAGGAAGGGCTGTCACTGGTCCTCACCTGCTCCTGGCCACTTGGGATCATTTTCCTTCCACATCCCTCCCTCTGCAAAACCCCACCTGTGTCAGCTGTGCTTTCAGCCGTGCCTTCTCCTGTGTGGACCGCTCTAACTGCCACTCAATAAGTGCTTGACTGCGGCTTGAGAACTGGATAGTGAACAGTGAGAAGTTTCCATCTGGGGAGCCCGGGCCATTCCACACAGTGCCCCTTAAAAGGGCTAGGGCTAGGCTCAATATACAACTCGGTCAGTAAAGATCAAGGCATTTCCAAGCCCATGGTCTGGTTTTTAAAAGAACTCAGTAAAGTTGGAAGGGAGAGGGAAAGAGATCGAATTTACAGCTGGCTAACAGAGGCCCAGAGAGAGCAGATAATATTGCTCTTGTTATTACTGTTATTACTACCACTGTCTGAACCTTTATGGAGTGCTTCACCAGGCACCACGCTAGCAATCCCATTTAATCCTCACAACCACCATAGGAGACAGTTACTATGATTCCCTCTATTGTGTAGATGAAAAATCATGAAGTATTTGAGGTTAAGCGCTTGCCGAAGATCACTGAGGCAGAGTTGGGATTTGAACACCCAGGTCTATCCGATTCTCTAAGCCCATTTTTCTTGCTGGGGATGGGGGCACAGATAGGAAGGGGACAATTAATCTTTTGTTTACTTTTTGAAAGGATGACACATTCGTATAGTCCAAAACTCAGAAGGTACAGAAGGGAAGTATCTCCCAGCCACCCTGTGGCTCTCTCCTGAGTTTTTTTTATGAACCCTTGCAGACATGTTTTCTGTATATTATCATAATATGTACACACACACACACATACACACACACACACGTTTCCTCTCTACAGAAATGGTATCATACTAAAGGTACTCTTCTGTACCTTCACAGAACAAGTACCTAATACCCCACCTAGGACTTGGCCAAGACCACAGCCAGGTAAGGGCAGGGCAGGCACTTGGCCTCCACGCTCTACGTCCAGTGCTCCCCGCCGCACCCCCCAACTCACCCACAGCAGCTGACTCAGCCCCAGGCTGCCTCTAACAACCAGACACAAAAGCAGTGAGACATGGCCATGCCGCCTTCTGGGCAGGCCACTCCATCCTGCAGAAGGGACTTTTAGGCTCACTCCTCCATCTGCGAAGCCGGGCTCCCAGGGGACAGGGCAGGTGGTTGAACTCACACTGATCTCCTTCTCCTCCTGTGTGGCGGGGACAGCAGACAGAGCCTGCTCTAACTCTTCTATACACTGCAGTGTTTGTTGCAGGCGGCCAGCCAGATCCTTGGACTCTTCTGTAATGACAGATGTGAGATGGGGCCCAAAGGACTCTCCCTAAAGACCTGTCAAAGTGCCAGGTTAAAGGATGACAGGGCGCCCAGATTCCCACCTTCAAAGTATCTGAGAGAACGTTTCGTGTGATTCATGTCTGTATTTAGTTTCTTTATCTGTCTATTCAATCTCTGGATTTGAACCTTTGGGAGAAAAGCCAAGCAAGTGCTGGAAGAGAAGGGAAGAAACATTCCCCGGAGGACAGGAGAAAACTTCACACCCTCCACTCACCTGTAGCTCCCTTTCGGCTTTCTGTTTCTCATTGTTTGCCTTCTTTTCCTATAGGAAGAGGAAGACAGAGCTCTTACCAGGGGGAGGCAGAGAAGGCACAGCAAGAGACATGCCCCCAGAAAGCCACCGATGCCCCAGGACAGGCCCACCCATGGGACCAGGTTATCAGGGACCCTGTGGGGATGGGGTGGAATCTGAGGGGTGAGCCTTCTTCCCCAGGCTGGGAGTGGGTGAGACGAGACTGGGGCCTCTACATCTGAGTGTCCCCCAAACCCAGCCGTCATGTCGCGAGGAAACAAAGAAATCACATTACTTCTTCCAGCTGATGTTCCACTTGTTTCTTCTGTTGTTCCTGTGGGGAGAGTCAAATTAAGGTGATGGAAGGTGGCCCCTTAACTCTATTCTCCAGACCAGGAAGCGGTAGGCAGGGGCCAGGAATGGATTTTAAAGGCAAAGTTCTCAGACCCAATGGGAACACGAACTGGTAAACCCTCCTCAAGCTTCCAAGGACAGAGGATTTGGGTCTTTGTCGGCTTTCGCCCACAGCCACAGAACTCAAAGTCTGAATGTGGAATCTCTTGAGAGGACAGGTAGAGATGGAGTTGGAGAAAGGCCCCCCTCCTGCCCGTTTGTGATTTAGAAAAGTGCGTTTGGCCGGGCGCGGTGGCTCACGCCTGTAATCCCAGCACTTTGGGAGGCCGAGGCGGGCGGATCACAAGGTCAGGAGATCGAGACCACGGTGAAACCCCGTCTCTACTAAAAATACAAAAAAAAATTAGCCAGGCGCGGTTGTGGGCGCCTGTAGTCCCAGCTACTCGGGAGGCTGAGGCAGGAGAATGGCGTGAACCCGGGAGGCGGAGCTTGCAGTGAGCCGAGATCGCGCCACTGCACTCCAGCCTGGGCGACAGAGCGAGACTCCGTCTCAAAAAAAAAAAAAAAAAAGAAAAGTGCGTTCATTCAATAAACATTTACTGCGCATGAATGGGCCAGGTACGGTTCTTCACAGCAGATATAGGCTAACGGAAAAGGACAGACAGCAGCCCTTGGCCCTGAGGTTTCCATTCTAGGCGGCCTTTAAATCTCGGACTCTCAGAGCTAACAGACACCTTTGATACTCACTACCTCCTCTGGAAACACAAACCCAAAAAGGAGAGGTGGCTTGTCCAGAATCAAAGAGCAAATTAGGGACTGAGTCATGGCAGAAATACAGCGCCCCTGACAACCAGTCAGGCTCGCACTTCCCCGAGAGGCAACAACCCCAGGGCGTGTGTAGCAAGGACTTGAGCAGGGGTGTGTGGAGAGGAGACAGTCGGCAAAGAGGGCAGCAAAAGAACAGCCATGGTGTGTGCTCTGGGGTCCCTCCAGGTGAGGTCTGGGAGCCCCAGCTCCCTATTTGCCCTTGGCACCAGGGACCCCCAGCCCCTTTCTTCAGGGCCCCAAGGGGAAAATGGAGCCCGGGATTGGCAGCGTGGAATCAGGGGACCCCACTGGACTCTTACCAGAGATTTGATGATGTTATTCAGTCGACTGATTTTGACGGACCTCGAGTCCAGGACAGCTGCTAGTTCTTGGCACGGGCTCTGAGGCGCATGCAGAGAGGAGGAGGTGGAGGAGGAGTCGGGGGAGAGGTAGAGAGAACAATCATTAGGGCTGGGGTGTGTGTGGGCTGTCTCAGCTGGCAGAGGGGCACCCAGTCCCCACTGTGGGAGGAGGTTAGAGGATCGGCCTGCAGGGTCACTGCACCTCCACCCAGAGCCTCTTACCTCCAGATCCTTGGGGGGTGCAGATGACGTAGGGCCCTCTCCGTCGATACCTGTTGCTGACTACAAGAGGTGAGAGTGCACATGGAGATGTTCTGTCCCCCTCAGTGTCAGAGCCCTCTGACTTCCTTTCTTCCCCATCAATGGGCAACATTTTCTTTTCTGCCTATCTTGGACCCTTTGTCCCGTAACTCCTTTATGCCAACTTCTCTCGTGGTTCTTATCTCCCCACCATCCCACCCTGGGGCCCTTTCTGTGACTCCTGATGGCAAATGGCTGTTCTCATTGCCCTGGCTTCCCCTTGAGACTGGGGATGAGGAAATTCAAAGAGCAATGACCATATCCTGGATGTCCTGGGTGTTTACAGCAGGCCAAGTACTAGGGATTAACATAAAACAGTAACAAATCTCATTTAAACCTCAAAAATGGAAGTCAAACAATAATACCACCTCTATTACACAGATGTGCAAAGAGAGGCCCAAAGAGCTCAAGCAACTCACCCTAAATCATATCCCTAGCAGATGGAGAGGCAGGATTCAAACCCAGAATTCTGAACCAGTACCCAACAGTCTATCCACAATCTTAACAATTACCCTCTACTGCCCCTTGTGCCCCCTGTCCCCAGGAGCCTGGCCACCAAGACTCACATCCCCAGGTGAGTGGGAACCACCAGAAATGGCTGTCTCAGGGCTACTGCCATTTGTTTTCCTGTTCTTCTTCGCTCCTGCTGGACCACCAGGGCTGTTTCTGTGCCAATATTCTTTTAACTGTAGGAAAGAAGATCAGTAATCCTCATGGAATCATCAGCCCCTACAGCCACATCCTCCTTTACAGTTTTTACAAAATACTCTTATACACCTCTGATTTAATGACACCAACAACTGTACAAGGTGTTGTCACAATCATTTAGTGACTGAGAGGGATTGATATCTTGGCTAGAAAAAAAAAAAAGGAAAGAAAAAGGTGATACTGGAACTTTGAAACTCAGTCTTCTGACTCCAAGCTCTGGGGATTTGAGAAGAATCAGCAGCTGCCTAGGACAAAAACCAGAGGCAGAGGTAGAAAAGTAAACATTAGGTAGGCAGGAACCGTATGCCCTGTGGTTTAGAGTCATACATCCTCACATGTCTGTTAGTGTCAAGAAGTGCACCAGTACCTCTCAAACTTTTATATCAATGTGTCCTCATGGCAGAAGGCAGCCTTTCTGTTAAATCTGGGAATTCATCAGAAAGAGGACAACCCAAGCCTCATTTCAGAGAGAAGTCTGATATACTCTTGGAAATCTGTGACTGTCATCCTTAAGTACATTAATGTTTTTTTCTCCTGATCTCAAGAGAATCAAGGGAAACTGATGCTTCAGAAAGATGTCCCATATTTGTCCTGTGGCACTCAAGGTACCCCAGATTGAGATAATATGAGGAATATGCAAGTCATCAAGTTCAGTTTCCCAAGATCTGTTCCACAGAAGATGAGCAAATCTCACTTCAGAGACCACTGACTGAAGGGCAGTCTGGTCCCAGAACCATGGAGAATTAGAATATGAGGTGGAGAACACAGAAAAAAAGGTTAAAATCTCTCTCTGGAAAGTAGAAGCCTGGGAGAAAACCAAACCAAACCCATCCTCCCATTGCCACATGGAGGTACGGTCAACGTTCTGCGCTCACAGGGGAAGTGTAGGCTTTCCCCCCTGTCAAGGTCGATGTTAAGGGAGTGAGAAGCCTGGAACCCCTTGCTCCTAGGTCCCACAGTCTCCATTCCCCTTCCAGCTGCAAATTCGTGCTGTGACCAGAGGAACCAGAAATGGGTGAGAATGCTTAGGGGACTGGGTCATAAGATCAAAGGCCAGTCTTCCAGTAATGACAGTTCCTAGGCAGACTGTGACATCACTACATTCCACTCCTCCTGATGAGGGGGAGGGACCACATCAGCGCAATGTCCGAGTTACCACTCCATGATGGGGGAGGGAAACACAAGGTTGGGACCCAGGTCCTTGGAGATGCCAGTGTAAAGAGCCCACGGAGGTTAACCTTGAGGCAGCAGGCGGGGAGGGCAGAGTCTGCAGCAGGGAGCCCCAGGAGTCACCAGCCCAAAGTCACCCAGGGATGACACACGAGGGCAGGGCCTGGGGCTGGGGGACCAAGGTCCCTAGAGATGCAAGCCCAAAGAGCCCAGGGAGGTCAAGCTTGGGGCAGCAGGAGATGAGGGCCCAGTAATGCAGCAGGAAGCCCCAGGAGTCACCCACCCAAAGTCACCCTGGGGTGATTGGCAAGGGCAGGGACTGGGCTGCTTGCTGAAGGGGTGAGGCTGACTGACAAAACTTTGATGGGGGCAGCCCAGAGGCACTAGGGTTAGTGGGCCCAGTCCAGTGTGCCTCAGGAGTGGTATGGACTCTGGTAGTGGTCTTGTTGTCAGAGGGGATCTGTGGCTGGGTTGGGGGGCCATGACCTGGTACGTTTTTACCTTTTTCTTGGCCTCAGCCAATATGCTCTGTCGAGTTTCTTCTGCCATTGCAGAGTGGGGAGGGAGGCGGGGTTGGGGCCACATCAGCAAAATCCTAGCAAGCACTGATCAACACCTCCAGTCACCTACCAGGCAGCTGTGCGACTGAGCCAGAGGCAGCGTAACCAGGGCTGCAGTAGAATGCCAAATAGGGGCGTGGCCTTAATGCTCCAAGCCCATTGGTCAATTAGAAAGATGAAAGGGAATGGGGGCGTGGCTAGACAGCAGTGTGTCCAGAGGGACTCATGGCTCACAAGGAAAGCTGCCCATGCAACTGCTGTCCCCACCCACTCTAGGAGAACGGAGGGGCTTTAAAAGCTTTAAAACTTAAAAATATATGTGTGTGTACTTTATATATATGTGTGTCCGTGTGTGTGTCTATGTTTACTTCCAGATCTGTCTTCATTACCCAGTTTCTATGCAAGATCTGTGATTCTGGCCTATATTTTTCATCTTCAAATACAGTACAAAAATCCCAGTATTACCTTAATTGAGATACAAAGCCTATAAAAATGGAAAATCCATAGCATGCTTGATGATTAATGAAGCAGACTATATTATCCAACATTCCAAAAAGATAAAATAATCACAATGATTTCTCTATTTTGGAAAAACGTTTCTCTTCTTCTATGTTATTCTTAAGATATTTTTTCTTAAACAAGAAACATGTCTAATATCTGTAAAAAGGCAAAGCTTTTGGGTCAGGCGCAGTGGCTCACACCTGTAATCCCAGCACTTTGGGAGGCCGAGGCAGGCGGATGATGGAGTCAGGAGATCGAGGCCATCCTGGCTAACACGGTGAAACCCCATCTCTACTAAAAATACAAAAAATTAGCCAGGCGTGGTGGCAGACGCCTGTAGTCCCAGCTACTTGGGAGGCCGAGGCAGGAGAATGTCATGAAACCTGGAGGCAGAGCTTGCAGTGAGCCAAGATCATGCCACTGCACTCCAGCCTGGGCAACAGAGCAAGGCTCTGTCTCAAATAAATACAGAAATAATTGTTCACTATATCAGTTGTTCACAAAAAAAACCAACATGTCCATTAACAGGGAACTATTTAAATTAATCAAGTTCATCTACATGATGTAATACCATACAACTATTTAAAAGCACCTAGTAAACCAATACACACTGAGATGGAATAATGCTATTAAAAACAGCAAGTAGTAGAACACTGTGTTGCCTATGACACCATTTTTATTCAACATTTAAACAAATTTATAACAGCAATTATATGAGCAGTGAGAATGGGGTTTATGAGACTTTTCATTTTTATGTGCTTCTATTTTTGTTATGCTTCTGTATATACATCCATTTATTATGGAGTATTATTTTTGAAAAAACAAATGGGCCAGTATTGTTTGGTGTTGCAAAGCGAGAGTATAGCTTCTGATATCAACTTTTGCATATTGCTTCTCATTTTAGGGAAATTACGAACCTCCCTTATTCTAACTAACTTAAACCCAGAATTTCAAACATACAGAATTGATGACAAAAAGAAAGAAAGAAAGAAAAGACAAGGAGCTTCAGATGACAGTGACTCATACTAAATTATTTATGCTGTAACGCTTGTTAAATAGTGCCATATTCTGGACATACTTGGTATTACAGTCCAACTCCAGTTGATCGCTTTTTACAGAGACGAGGAACAAAGGAAAAAACACTCAAGAAGTGAAAAGTATGGAGTCATGGAAAAATTGCTGTGATGCAAAGCCTATGGTCATAGGACATGAAACAAAGAGAACTCCAAGCAGTAAGCCACTGCTGTTCTATTAGCATCCAAACCTCCGTACTCCTGTCTGCCCCAAGGCTTTTTTAAAAAATGGAGACAGGGTCTAACTATTTTGCCCAGGCTGGTCTTGAACTCCTGGACTAAAGCAATCCTCCTGCCTTGGCCTCCCAAAGTGCTGAGATTACAGGCTTGCATCACCATACCTGGCTATTGATATTTTCTTAACTCTCTTGCCTGGCCTATAGCCACCATGGAAGCTAATAAAGAATATTAATTTAAGAGTAATGGTAGAGTTCACTACATTGAAATACACGTATAAGTGTCTAAATTGTACATGAAAGGCATCCATGGATCGATTACCCCCCCGGGTGGCCAAAGGAACTGCGCGAACCTCCCTCCTTGGCTGTCTGGATCAAGCTTCCCACTAGGTCCCTTTACTGAGTGCCTCCCTCATCTTTAATTATGGTGAAGTCTGGGATAACAGGACTGGCACAGGGGAGGGGAAAGCTTCCTCCAGAGTTGCGCTACCCTCTCCTCTACCATCCTATCTCCTCACTCCTGTCAGCCAGGGAGTCCAATCTGTCCTGAACTCAGAATGTCACTGTCAACTACATAAAATTGCCAGAGAAGCTCTTTGGGACTACAGACACATACCCTTAATGTCTTTATTTCTATTTTGTCTACCTCTTCAGTCTAGGTGAAAAAATAAGAAGGATAATAGGGAAGAACTTTGTTTATGCCACTTGTCCGCCCCTAAGAATTTTGAAAACCTCTAGGTAGCAATAAGAACTTCAGCATGGTATAAGAAAAGAGGAGGAAAAGCTGTACAGAACTGCATAATAAATGGGCTGGAAAAGAACTGCTGGGAACAAACAGGTAGGTTGAACTAGATAGAGAGAAAGCAGAGAGGCTAATCAACAAGGCTGGGATCCCAAAGGGGCATGATGAGAATATTACCAAAGTAGGAAGTCCTGGCTCCATGTCCCCTTAGTGGCTTAGTACTATGTAGCTTGCTTTCTGCAGTGAACTTCAGACCTTCCTGCTAGGATCCTCGAATGGAATTTTCTTATTGGAAAACAGTCGTTCTCTCGACATTCAGGTAGGCCCAAGTCTGCCACACTCGATCACATTTTCTCTTCATATAATCTCTCAACCATCCTCTATCCTTTAACTGTTTTTCTATATCCTGATCAGATGCCAACAAAAGTGAGAATGTTAGAATCATATATTTTTAGAGGTAGACCATACCTCAGATTTAAAAAATGGCAGATACTCCATTTTCCAAAATGCATATGCAGAAAAAATAAGTCTAGAAGGATATATGCTTAGGTAATCAGTTAATTTATTTACTTGTATTTTATGAATTCTTTTAAATGAACACATTGCTTTTTTAAAAAACAAACTAAAGGTTTCTGTCAGTTAAAAAATGACACTGATGAAGCAGAGCCCTTACAGATTATCCAGTCTGACCCTGGCCCATACGGTAGCCACGTGTGGCGTATCAGTTCCTTAAAAATGCAGTTCCTGTGCTGCACA